GAATCGAACTCACGACCTTCCGCTTACCGGGCAGATGCCATGACCACTAGGCTACCCTGGACATATTTTTCCGTTCACATTTTTATTTTTATATTTTCAAGACACACACAGTTTGGGGCGGGACTTTTCACAAAAGAGACATCCACGGCGCCAATTTATAATTGTAACGAATAGTATTTTAATTAAAACATTTTTAAAATATATACGCACTCGGGTAAAACCCGGGCGTTGCCCGGGCCATTCGTCTAGTATAAGTATACTAGCGGATGTGTACCCGGCTTCGCCCGAGTTTTATCCGAGTGAAAGTTTGCCTAACGAATATTATATATTATGAAGTATAATAAACAATGCTAAAGATTAGTTTTAATTATTAATCAAGATTGTGTGTGAATATGTGAGAAAGATGTAATATCGTTGTTGTTTTCTTGGCCGACTGTTTTACATATAGTGTTATCTTAAAATTGCTTGTTTTGAATATTTTTTTAGATTGAGTTGAATGAATTGCTGATTTTTTTTTGTATATTTATATATAAATAAAATTAACTCTGTTGAATTTTTTTTGTATTTTATCGATAACAGCAAAGTTATGTATTTTAAAGTTAGGAAAAATATTTTGATGTTAACCAAAACCTGCTCCATCTCGTTTTACATAAATGTTGAAAATTTGGTCGAAATTGATGCATTGTAACGAAAGTTTTTAGCGAACACCACTTATGAAATTTCCATTTATATAGAAGACTAGCCGAATGGCCCGGGCAACGCCCGGGTTTTACCCGACTGGACCCGGCTTCGCCTGAGTAGTGTTCGAGCGAGGTTTACTCATGAATGAATAGAGGCCCCAACTGTTTGTAAACTCAATGTAATGAATTTTCTTTCAGCAAAATGGAGATAAATTGAAAACAGCAATATCGAAAATGCTTGTAAAAAAATCTGAAATATAGGATCCATTTCACAAACACATCTAATGAATAGAGTGCTGTTTGGAGGAGTGGTCTAAACTGTTAATTTTTAAAAACCATGACCCGGGATCATCGAATGCAGATTCAGACACTTTGTTCTGAAAAAAAAAATTACCCCAATGGCTCCTGATTCTTGAAAAAGTCCAACCCCTCCAGTGAGTGCAAGTAACCAAACTGGGCTTTTATTCTTAAAAATTAAAAAAAAATCTAATGATTAGTGTGAATAAAGGAAAATGGTCGGCACAACCTGAAAATTCACTTTGCCCACTTCACTCTCAGCTGTCCAAGAAGAAACAGCCAGAGCAAACATTTTAAAGGGCACCTAATCCGGCATTTACATATCTAAATAGTTAAGCAACTTTTATATTACGGATGCGCGCGCATCATCATTATGATCATTATCATTATCTAATGATAATAATAATTATTATTATTATTATATTATTATTATTTTTTTATTATCAACATATATAGTCACGACCGTCTTTCCTCAATTCCTCATCGCTGTCACGGATGCGCGCGCATCATCATTATGATCATTATCTTCTATAGAAGCTTCTATCTTTATAATTATGTATATTTACAAAAGGTCAATTCGCTCGCGCCTCTAGCGGTGAAAATGAGGGGTAATACCAGCTGACCTAATGTACATGTAAAGTTTGGAGCGGGACGTTTCACAAGAGTGACATCCACGGCTCCAATTTATAATTGTAACAAATAGTATTTGAAAAAAAACATTCAATCGGGTAAAACACGGGCGTTGCCCGGGTCATTCGGCTAGTATAAATATAAATATGGTTACATGCGTTTAAATATATTTTTGAAACACATAATTTTTTTGAAAACATCTATATATATAAAAATGAATGTATGTGTGTCTGTTTGTTTGTCCTTTATGCCTGACCAAACCACTCATTGGATCGCCATGAAACTTTGGGAAGTTATTTAGTATAGTACTGGGAAGGTTTCTAGCAAATAAAATTTTTGAAATAACTTATCGCCTAGAAATAATCAAGATAAATATTCTAATTTATCTGTTATAATTCAACAATCTGCTCTAAATATTATCATGATGATACGATGATTTTGTAATGTAGAAAATTAGGAAAGACAAAATTCAGGATGACACGGCAATTTATTTGAGACAAGAATAATGATACAATTCAAAGGCAAGATACTATTCCTTTAACTTCCAATTACCGAGGGAACCAATTAATATTGATTTTATTCAACTTATCGAGTATTTTTCAAGGGACCGGGAAAAAATGTTCACTTTATCGAGAGATTCGTTAAACAAACCTTTACTCGGGTAAAACCCGGGCGAAGCCGGGTACATCCATACAAGAATAATGATACAATTCCAAGGCAAGATACTATTCCTTTAACTTCCAATTACCGAGGGAACCAATTAATATTGATTTTATTCAACTTATCGAGTATTTTTCAAGGAACCGGGAAAAAAATTTCACTTTATCGAGAGATTCGTTAAACAAACCTTTACTCGGGTAAAACCCGGGCGAAGCCGGGTACATCCATACAAGAATAATGATACAATTCCAAAGCAAGATACTATTCCTTTAACTTCCAATTACCGAGGGAACCAATTAATATTGATTTTATTCAACTTATCGAGTATTTTTCAAGGGACCGGGAAAAAAATGTTCACTTTATCGAGAGATTCGTTAGACAAACTTTTACTCGGGTAAAACCCGGGCGAAGCCGGGTACGTCCGCTAGTTTATTATATTTGAAATAAGATATTGTCACTTTTGTGAATTTGATAATTAATCATTTCTTTTTTCTCAATGAATTATATATATTAATTTAAAATTTCATTTTTGTTATCATCATCACATACAATGTAATTTTTTTATATAAACAAACAATAATAACAACAATTAGGGGCTCAAAAATCATTTATTATGGTTAGCAGCTCTGTAAATAAAGATATTTTCACAACAACAATTAAAGTTGCATCATCAATTTTATAAAACAAAAACAAATTAAATTAACAATATAAAAATATTTTTTAACATTACATTTTAACATTTAACACAAAATCGTTACAATTTTTCTTTAAATATATATTAATATTGAAATGCCAAGTATTTTTTACGTCATTAGAATATTATATTGCTAAATTCTCAAATTAAATTTATTATACTTGGAAAACATTTTAAGCATTGTTACAATTTATAAATATAATTTCACCAGACGCCGCTAGAGGCGCTGCTTGCGAGTGAAAGTAGAAAATTTGCAAATAAAATTGCAAAGAATATTTATTTCAAATCAAATACAAACCAGAAATCTTCCCAGTAGTATAGTAAATAACTTCCTAAAGTTTCACGGCGATTGGATAATCTTACCTTTTAAAAACATTCATCGTGTGAACAAACTAACATTCATTGTGTAAACAAACCACGTGTTAATTATTAACCAATCAAATTCATTTATCGTCGCGACCAGTGCTGCGCCCAAGCGGTAAAAGACTGGAACTAACGCTTTTTGTTTTTTATTTTTTAAAAAAAGCACATTAACTTTTTTAGTTTTTTGAATAGCCTATATGTTAAACGAAATCTTCAGCTACCTACATGCGAAATTCCATAATGATTGAGTCAGTAGATTTTGCGTGATGCGATAACAAACATCGATTTCGCATTTCATTTTTAAATATATACTAGCGGATGTGTACCCGGGTTCGCCCGGGTTTTATCCGAGTGAAAGTTTGCCTAACGAATATTATATATTATGAAGTATAATAAACAATGCTAAAGATTAGTTTTAATTATTAATCAAGATTGTGTGTGAATATGTGAGAAAGATGTAATATCGTTTTGTTTTCTTGGCCGACTGTTTTACATATGGTGTTATCTTAAAATTGCTTGTTTTGAATATTTTTTTAGATTGAGTTGAATGAATTGCTGAATTTTTTTTTTTTGTATTTATATATAAATAAAATTAACTCTGTTGAATTTTTTTGTATTTTATCGATAACAGGAAAGTTATGTATTTTAAAGTTAGGAAAAATATTTTGATGTTAAGCAAAACCTGCTCCATCTCGTTTTACATAAATGTTGAAAATTTGGTCGAAATTGATGCATTGTAACGAAAGTTTTTAGCGAACACCACTTATGAAATTTCCATTTATATAGAAGACGGATGTGTACCCGGCTTCGCCCGGGTTTTATCCAAGTGAAAGTTTGCCTAACGAATATTATATATTATGAAGTATAATAAACAATGTTAAAGATTAGTTTTAATTATTAATCAAGATTGTGTGTGAATATGTGAGAAAGATGTAATATCGTTGTTGTTTTCTTGGCCGACTGTTTTACATATGGTGTTATCTTAAAATTGCTTGTTTTGAATATTTTTTTAGATTGAGTTGAATGAATTGCTGAATTTTTTTTGTATTTATATATAAATAAAATTAACTCTGTTGATTTTTTTTTTGTATTTAATCGATAACAGCGAAGTTACGCATGTTAAAGTTAGGAAAAATATTTTGATGTTAAGCAAAACCTGCTCCATCTCGTTTTACATAAATGTTGAAAATTTGGTCGAAATTGATGCATTGTAACGAAAGTTTTTAGCGAACACCACTTATGAAATTTGCATTTTATTAATATAGATATAATATAAATGAGTTTTAAAAATTGTTTAAAAAAATGCATCGGCCGGGAATCGAACCCTGGCCGCCCGCGTGGCAGGCGAGCATTCTACCACTGAACCACCGATGCTTTAAAAATATCAAATTCATTTATCGTCGCGACCAGTGCTGCGCCCTAGCGGTAAAAGACTGCAACTAACGCTTTTTGGTTTTTTATTTTTTAAAAAAAGCACATTAACTTTTTTAGTTTTTTGAATAGCCTATATGTTAAACGAAATCTTCAGCTACCTACATGCGAAATTCCATAATGATTGAGTCAGTAGATTTTGCGTGATGCGATAACAAACATCGATTTCGCATTTCATTTATATATATATATATATAAGGAAGGAAGGATATAATATAAATGAGTTTTAAAAATTGTTAAAAAAAAATGATTGGGCGGGAATCGAACCCTGGCCGCACGCGTGGCAGGCGAGCATTCTACCACTGAACCACCGATGCTTTAAAAAAATCAAATTCATTTATCGTCGTGACCAGTGCTGCGCCCTAGCGGTAAAAGACTGGAACTAACGCTTTTTGGTTTTTTATTTTTTAAAAAAAGCACATTAACTTTTTTAGTTTTTTGAATAGCCTATATGTTAAACGAAATCTTCAGCTACCTACATGCGAAATTCCATAATGATTGAGTCAGTAGATTTTGCGTGATGCGATAACAAACATCGATTTCGCATTTCATTTTTATATATATATATAAGGATTTACTCTTCTTTGTTGGCTTTTTATCTTACATTCATTCTTTATTGTTGGCTTTTTATATTACATTTACTATTCATTGTTGGCTTTTTATCTTACATTCACTCTTCATTGTTGGCTTTTTATCTTACATTCATTCTTCATTGTTGGCTTTTTATATTACATTTACTCTTCATTGTTGGCTTTTTATCTTACATTCACTCTTCATTGTTGGCTTTTTATATTATACTAGCGGACGTACCCGGCTTCGCCCGGGTTTTACCCAAGTAAAGGTTTGTCTAACGAATCTCTCGATAAAGTGAACATTTTTTTCCCGGTCCCTTGAAAAATACTCGATAAGTTGAATAAAATCAATATTAATTGGTTCCCTCGGTAATATTGGAAGTTAAAAAAATAGTATCTTGCCTTGGAATTGTATAATTATTCTTGTATGGATGTACCCGGCTTCGCCCGGGTTTTACCCGAGTAAAGGTTTGTTTAACGAATCTCTCGATAAAGTGAACATTTTTTCCCCGGTCCCTTGAAAAATACTCGATAAGTTGAATAAAATCAATATTAATTGGTTCCCTCGGTAATTGGAAGTTAAAGGAATAGTATCTTGCCTTGGAATTGTATCATTATTCTTGTCTCAAATAAATTGCAGTGTCATCCTGAATTTTGTCTTTCCTAATTTTCTACATTACAAAATCATCGTATCATCATGATAATATTTAGAGCAGATTGTTGAATTATAACAGATAAATTAGAATATTTATCTTGATTATTTTAAAGCGAAAAGTTATTTCAAAAATTTTATTCGCTAGAAACCTTCCCAGTACTATACTAAATAACTTCCCAAAGTTTCATGGCGTTCCAATGAGTGGTTTGGTCAGGCATAAAGGACAAACAAACAGACACACACATACATTCATTTTTATATATATATAGATTTTTAGATTGAGATTATTAGCTAGTATGTAAAAAAATTAAGTCTGTTGAAATTTAATTTTGTATTTATATATAAATAAAATCAACTCTGTTGATTTTTTTTGTATTTAATCGATAACAGCGAAGTTACGCATGTTAAAGTTAGGAAAAATATTTTGATGTTAAGCAAAACCTGCTCCATCTCGTTTTACATAAATGTTGAAAATTTGGTCGAAATTGATGCATTGTAACGAAAGTTTTTAGCGAACACCACTTGTGAAATTTGCATTTTATTAATATAGATTTACTCTTCATTGTTGGTTTTTTATCTTACATTTATTCTTCATTGTTGGCTTTTTATATTACATTTATTCTTTATTGTTGGCTTTTTATCTTACACTAGCGGATGTGCACCCGGCTTCGCCAGGGTTTTATCCGAGTGAAAGTTTGCCTAACGAATATTATATATTATGAAGTATAATAAACAATGTTAAAGATTAGTTTTAATTATTAATCAAGATTGTGTGTGAATATGTGAGAAAGATGTAATATCGTTGTTGTTTTCTTGGCCGACTGTTTTACATATGGTGTTATCTTAAAATTGCTTGTTTTGAATATTTTTTTAGATTGAGTTGAATGAATTGCTGAATTTTTTTTTGTATTTATCTATATATATAAAAATGAATGTATGTGTGTGTGTGTGTGGTCTGTTTGTCCTTTATGCCTGACCAAACCACTCATTGGAACGCCATGAAACTTTGGGAAGTTATTTAGTATAGTACTGGGAAGGTTTCTAGCAAATACAATTTTTGAAATAACTTTTCGCTTTAAAATAATCAAGATAAATATTCTAATTTATCTGTTATAATTCAACAATCTGCTCTAAATATTATCATGATGATACGATGATTTTGTAATGTAGAAAAAAAGGAAAGACAAAATTCAGGATGACACGGCAATTTATTTGAGACAAGAATAATGATACAATTCCAAGGCAAGATACTATTCCTTTAACACTAATTACCGAGGGAACCAATTAATATTGATTTTATTCAACTTATCGAGTATTTTTCAAGGGACCGGGAAAAAATGTTCACTTTATCGAGAGATTCGTTAGACAAACCTTTACTCGGGTAAACCCCGGGCGAAGCCGTGTACGTCCGCTAGTATATAAATAAAATTAACTCTGTTGATTTTTTTGTATTTAATCGATAACAGCGAAGTTACGCATGTTAAAGTTAGGAAAAATATTTTGATGTTAATCAAAACCTGCTCCATCTCGTTTTACATAAATGTTGAAAATTTGGTCGAAATTGATGCATTGTAACGAAAGTTTTTAGCGAACACCACTTATGAAATTTCCATTTATATAGAAGACGGATGTGTACCCGGCTTCGCCCGGGTTTTATCCAAGTGAAAGTTTGCCTAACGAATATTATATATTATGAAGTATAATAAACAATGTTAAAGATTAGTTTTAATTATTAATCAAGATTGTGTGTGAATATGTGAGAAAGATGTAATATCGTTGTTGTTTTCTTGGCCGACTGTTTTACATATGGTGTTATCTTAAAATTGCTTGTTTTGAATATTTTTTTAGATTGAGTTGAATGAATTGCTGAATTTTTTTTGTATTTATATATAAATAAAATTAACTCTGTTGATTTTTTTTTGTATTTAATCGATAACAGCGAAGTTACGCATGTTAAAGTTAGGAAAAATATTTTGATGTTAAGCAAAACCTGCTCCATCTCGTTTTACATAAATGTTGAAAATTTGGTCGAAATTGATGCATTGTAACGAAAGTTTTTAGCGAACACCACTTATGAAATTTGCATTTTATTAATATAGATATAATATAAATGAGTTTTAAAAATTGTTTAAAAAAATGCATCGGCCGGGAATCGAACCCTGGCCGCCCGCGTGGCAGGCGAGCATTCTACCACTGAACCACCGATGCTTTAAAAATATCAAATTCATTTATCGTCACGACCAGTGCTGCGCCCTAGCGGTAAAAGACTGCAACTAACGCTTTTTGGTTTTTTATTTTAAAAAAAAAGCACATTAACTTTTTTAGTTTTTTGAATAGCCTATATGTTAAACGAAATCTTCAGCTACCTACATGCGAAATTCCATAATGATTGAGTCAGTAGATTTTGCGTGATGCGATAACAAACATCGATTTCGCATTTCATTTATATATATATATATATAAGGAAGGAAGGATATAATATAAATGAGTTTTAAAAATTGTTAAAAAAAAATGATTGGGCGGGAATCGAACCCTGGCCGCACGCGTGGCAGGCGAGCATTCTACCACTGAACCACCGATGCTTTAAAAAAATCAAATTCATTTATCGTCGTGACCAGTGCTGCGCCCTAGCGGTAAAAGACTGGAACTAACGCTTTTTGGTTTTTTATTTTTTAAAAAAAGCACATTAACTTTTTTAGTTTTTTGAATAGCCTATATGTTAAACGAAATCTTCAGCTACCTACATGCGAAATTCCATAATGATTGAGTCAGTAGATTTTGCGTGATGCGATAACAAACATCGATTTCGCATTTCATTTTTATATATATATATAAGGATTTACTCTTCTTTGTTGGCTTTTTATCTTACATTCATTCTTTATTGTTGGCTTTTTATATTACATTTACTATTCATTGTTGGCTTTTTATCTTACATTCACTCTTCATTGTTGGCTTTTTATCTTACATTCATTCTTCATTGTTGGCTTTTTATATTACATTTACTCTTCATTGTTGGCTTTTTATCTTACATTCACTCTTCATTGTTGGCTTTTTATATTATACTAGCGGACGTACCCGGCTTCGCCCGGGTTTTACCCAAGTAAAGGTTTGTCTAACGAATCTCTCGATAAAGTGAACATTTTTTTCCCGGTCCCTTGAAAAATACTCGATAAGTTGAATAAAATCAATATTAATTGGTTCCCTCGGTAATATTGGAAGTTAAAAAAATAGTATCTTGCCTTGGAATTGTATAATTATTCTTGTATGGATGTACCCGGCTTCGCCCGGGTTTTACCCGAGTAAAGGTTTGTTTAACGAATCTCTCGATAAAGTGAACATTTTTTCCCCGGTCCCTTGAAAAATACTCGATAAGTTGAATAAAATCAATATTAATTGGTTCCCTCGGTAATTGGAAGTTAAAGGAATAGTATCTTGCCTTGGAATTGTATCATTATTCTTGTCTCAAATAAATTGCAGTGTCATCCTGAATTTTGTCTTTCCTAATTTTCTACATTACAAAATCATCGTATCATCATGATAATATTTAGAGCAGATTGTTGAATTATAACAGATAAATTAGAATATTTATCTTGATTATTTTAAAGCGAAAAGTTATTTCAAAAATTTTATTCGCTAGAAACCTTCCCAGTACTATACTAAATAACTTCCCAAAGTTTCATGGCGTTCCAATGAGTGGTTTGGTCAGGCATAAAGGACAAACAAACAGACACACACATACATTCATTTTTATATATATATAGATTTTTAGATTGAGATTATTAGCTAGTATGTAAAAAAATTAAGTCTGTTGAAATTTAATTTTGTATTTATATATAAATAAAATCAACTCTGTTGATTTTTTTTGTATTTAATCGATAACAGCGAAGTTACGCATGTTAAAGTTAGGAAAAATATTTTGATGTTAAGCAAAACCTGCTCCATCTCGTTTTACATAAATGTTGAAAATTTGGTCGAAATTGATGCATTGTAACGAAAGTTTTTAGCGAACACCACTTGTGAAATTTGCATTTTATTAATATAGATTTACTCTTCATTGTTGGTTTTTTATCTTACATTTATTCTTCATTGT